GATGCTTATTTGGAAACAATGAAACATGTATGTATTAATTTATATTTAATATATACATATTATTTCACAGTCCAGATCAAATTGAGCTGTGTCCAATACATCAGTACTGTTGTCATTATTTAATGTATTGTAACACATGTGGCCGACATTGCAGGTTGTGTGACGTCACCGCCCTTCCCTGTGGATAGCAGGGTCCTCAGCCGCGGGGCTGGGGGGAGATCTCCCTTCAGCTCAGCTGGCTGGTTCCCTGTTGAGTGATCCTGGCGGCCTGGGTTTGAGTCCCCAGCAGGGGAGGGGGCGACCTGAGGCAGCAGCGGCAAGGGCACATACCCACGTGAACCCGAAAGTGCTACAGTATTATTATTCATCATTACTGTGGAAGTGCTCATGTTTACTGTGCAGTGATTAGTGACTCATAAATATAAAAACTGAAAGACACTCACCTCTAACAACCAGCTCAATAACAGTGTTATCCTCCATCATGTCAGACAGCACCATGCATGTGTATTGTCCACGGTCAGAGCGTCTCACATCTCTCAGTGTTAAAGACACATTGCCTCTGTGGAGCTCCTCCAGGAATAGACCAGCTCTGTCCCTGTAGGCTGGGTTCTGTACACGTAAGTTATAGAAGCCCCATTCAAACAAACAAACAGGGCTATAGTAATCCTCTCTAAACCACCTGATCTGTAGGTCTTCAGCACTGATGTCTGGTGAGAGGTAACAGGGCAGAACAGCGTCTTCATCAGGGAAAACAAACACGGGAAGAGCTGGACCTTGAACCTGAAACCTCTCTGAAAGAGAAAGAGCACAGCTGACATGAGTCTTCAACCTCAACAAAGACAAACACTCTGAGACAAACTGTAGATCATCACTGGCAGGATAAAGCAGAGCAGCTCAGTGACACACAGTGTTTTCTACAAACAGCCCATCACTGATTCAGACCCACATGTGACTGAGGAGCACTGAAGATCAATGAGTCTCATCTCACCATCTGCTCCTCTTCCTCACACCAGTGTTTCCCAAACTGGGGTCTAGATCTCTGACCCAGGACCCTCAGATTCTTGTCCCCTGAAGTCTAACACAGTTCAATGGGAGTCCAGCTTCCTCAAGTCTCATAATCCTTTGCTTCAAATTCACAGCTCCTCATTCCTCTGAAATGTCCCTCCTCTCCCTACACCTCATCCTGCCTCCTGTTCCCCTCTTACTGCAGGGGCACATTAAACAAGGTGCAGACATGAATCTTGTCTGTCTCCTTTTTCACTTTACTCTTTCCTTCCAAGTATGAAAACCCTCTTTCTGTTCTATTGACATTGACTGAATCAAGCTGTTCCCAGTGCAGCAAGATCCTTATTGCAAAAAAATACAATTGAGCCAAATTTCTCTGAATTATTTCATTTTGAAGATTTTTGCTTCCTGGATTCACAATAATCTGGATTCACAATAATCTCGACTGATTTCAGTTGTTGCTTTCCAACAACTTGTCCAATGTGTCTCACACAAAAAAGAAACTATTGTCTAGTTGGGATAACTCAACAATGCCATGAAAACAATTCCCCAAGACTGAGCATCTATTTGCACTGTCTAGATCCTATATCATCAGATTATAACAGCATGTAATCCTCACTTCAAGAGGCAAAGCAACGTTTCGACTCTAGTAGTTATCTTTGGGTTGTCATTAGAATGTGTTGTCATTCTTTTAAGATGTGTTTCCATCACCTCCCCTAGACCTTCAGCTTTTCACAAGCTCGGCTCCTGTCATCTCCTTCAGAGTGTCACGATCGTTACTCCTCCTCTTAGGGGCGCTCCAGCCCTTCCTCGTTCTGTCCCATTCCCCACACCTGTTCCTGATTCCAGCCCCTCTTTAGTTCCACCTTTAAAGCCAGACGCAGGCGTTTGCCCGGCGCTTCTCATTGATTTCCACATCGTGAGAGCCCGGGGTCCTGCCGCGTCTGGCTCCGTTATGGTTTTAGTTTCCTGTTCCTGATTCCCTGCCCCGCCGGTTCTGACCCGGTTCTTGTTTTTAATTCCTTCGGATGGATCTCCTGGCTTTGGACTCAACCTCCCATTTTGGATTCCCCCTCTGGATTGACCCTTGTACTGTTCTCCCTGGATTCACTCCCCCTGGACACCTGCACTCCTCGGACACGCCCCCCGTCTCCAGACCCTTCTCCTGCATGACTATTTTCCCAATTGTATCCTCACAATTCCGGATCGTGTCATCCGCATAGGGCCCGGAAAGAACCGGATCGTGACAAGAGTCTGTTATCAAGGTCATTGGTTCTCCTTTTTCTTCTTTCTACACAGTCGTCCTCCTTAATCAAGTTGTGTCTGATGGTCATGGCTGCTTCTCCTGGGGCTACGTTTGGATAAAACCATCAGTCCTTATTCATTCAGATAGACCTGCAGCTGTCTGTGTCATCAATAAGGAAGATTGTCCTCCCTGTTTGCCATCAAACACCTCCATTTCCTCCAGTAGTTTTCTTATCAATCAGTTTCTCACTATTACAGCTCACATCCCAGGACACTTCAATAATATCTCCCAGTGATCCTCTTTCCATTAATGGTGTCTTATAGCTTCTTTTTTTAAGCTTCATGAAATTTTAATTAAATCTGTATTTTACGTAGAACAAATCTCTGTCTGCTCTTGTCACACTGGTACAGCCTCCTCAGTAACAGATCGGCAACCCGTCACCTCATGACACACCTACAATTCCAGGCCTTTCCTCTCACAGCACTACTATTATTCAATACTCCCTCATATTCCTACCTAGAATAATAATTAAGAGATGAAACACCAGATGGTATCAGCTTCAGAAATTCGATGCTCAGAAACTGTACTGACATTTTCAGTCATGAGTGTGAAATTTGGGTTCTGGTCAGATTACTTGACTAAAACACCAATAAGAGTCTCACTGTACCTGATCCTGAGACACAGGACTGTTGGAGAAACAGTAGAGTCAAAAAGAGCCACTGTGACTGGTCAGACTCCATCTCTGAAATAAAGAAATGTGTGTAAAAAATCACACTTATGAGTTACAGTTCATCTCTGAAATAAAGAAAATCTCTGACAATGATTGAATATCTCTCAAAGACACAGGAAGTACACTGCACTGAAACACACAATCACCCTGACTCACCACTGTGCGATGTTGCCATTAATAATAATAATAATTATAATTATAATAATAATTGCTTACACTTATATAGCGCTTTTCTGGATACTCCACTCAAAGCGCTTTACAGGTCCACCATCCACCACCACCTGGATGATGCGACGGCAGCAATAGTGCGCCAGAATGCTCAACACACACCAGCTATCAGTGGGGAGGAGAGCAGAGTGATGAAGCCAATTCATAGATGGGGATTATTATTAGGAGACCGATTGGTAAGGGCCATTAACAGTAGCATTGATGTTTCAGTGAGATCTACAGGTGGCAGACTTCAGGCATTCATCGATTGCAAAGGATTTGTAACCAAGTACTAAACATGACAGTTTTATCTAAGTATGTTAAGGTGTCAAATTATTTATGGTCCCCTAAAATGGGAGGATTACGTATAAAAAGGGCTGTGATTCCAATATGGTTCACCCAATTCAGACGTAAATACCCTCGAATTAAATTAAATTAAAGCTGACATTCTGCATTTTAACTTCATCGTCATTGCTTAATTTCCAATCCAAGGTGCAGAGCCAAAACAACACAAATTGTGTCACTGTCCAAATACTTACGGACCGAATTGTATATCCAGAGCAAAAGTACCACCTGAAATGAGAAGTGTTTCTGAGATGTCTCATCTGACTGTTCACTCACACACTGCTGTACCTGACTGATCTCACTGTCACTCCAGCACACAGCAGCTT